TGCACATGGGTGGAGTTTTCTTTCTTTTGGTATTTTCCTAGACTTTCCATAGGTAGAATTCGATGTAAGGCGGCGTTTGCGCCTTTGTGCGCTGTTGTGGGGTGGAAGTTGACTTTTCCCGGCCAATCCACGCTGTGTCCCTAATATGCATAAAAATCAGATCGGTCGAAGAGCAAACACGACTACGCCATGCCTGATGCTGCTGAAAACAACAACAACATGGGGATCGTACACAAGCCATTGGCTTGGAATCACAGAGCACTAACTCCTGAGCTAAAATTGCGTAATAACTGCAATGGACATTTACGTTGACCAGAGAAATCGTGTGTGTGTGTGTGTGTGTGTGTGGGTGTATGAAATTGCATGCGCTGTGTTGGCTGTGGATGAACACACACACACAAACACACAATAGTGACAAATTTGTAGACGCGCTGGGGGACGAGGCAGAAACGCCCACTGAGGCATAGCGCGTCTACCGAATTCGAAAACACACTGAATTGGCCCATTGCCCTGTCACGGAAATGTCAAGGTGTCCATTTTTACTGTGAGCGCAGACTAATTTCTGTTACCAAATTGCTGGATGACTCAGGGGCGAGTCAAACTCTGTGCGCCGAAACACCCAAATGGCTGCAACACGGCCCCCAAAGACACTAGACTTGCACTGGCCCAAAAATGAAGTTACGTCCATTTTTACGGCGAATGCATGGGCACCAGTCTTCCAATATAGGGCCCTCAGTCTCTTCAAACACATTAGCTGGTCCACCTGTGTTAAAGCTCAAGTAAGCTGGTGTAAGTCCACTGAATGGCATTGATTTGGAGGGATATCATCTGTTTGGGTTTTTTTTTTTTTCTCGAAAACATTCTCCTAACTTGTAAATCATGCGCAACTGTGTTATATAAAATTCACAGTGCTTTCCAAAAGATCCTTTACAACATAGTTGATATTTCACATCGTCACTACATCTAAATCAGTGCTATTTCAATAAAATGTACCTGAATTGTTTAATTTTGCTTATAATTTCTTATTAACATACATTTTTGATAGTTTTCCTGGAATTACAATATAGTGTATATATATTCTATTCATAGCAATTTCCCAACGTTTTTTTTTTTTTTTGACGAAAACATACAAAATGGTAGAAAATTTTGATTATTTTCTTTGGGACAGATTTTTTTTTTTTTTTGTGCACGACTGCAGTTTGCACTATTCAGCAGGAAGTGAGGAATATTTGAATTTTTGTCTTCAAGTAAGAAACAAAAAAAAAATGTGGAAAATAAGTGGCAGTAAATGGAAACGAGGCTTTGGAAGATGTGACGTCATCGGGTGTTTTCAGATAGTTTTCGGATCTGATTTATCTGGTTGAATTGAAACTTGTCTCGCTGTAGTTGTCACACACACACACACACACACACACACAGTCGCAGGAAGTGAGGAATATCTGAATTTTTGTCTTCAAGTAAGAAACAAAAAAAAATGTGGAAATTAAGTGGCAGTAAATGGAAACGAGGCTTTGGAAGATGTGACGTCATCGGGTGTTTTCAGATAGTTTTCGGATCTGATTTATCTGGTTGAATTGAAACTTGTCTCGCTGTAGTTGTGACGGTGCTCACACTTTTGTAGATTTAATTTCAGCTCAGCTCAAATGTCAAATTCTTATACCATGAAAAGGCCATATGTGTGTGTGTGTGTGTGTGTGTGTGTGTGTGTGTGTGTGTGTGTGTGTGTGTGTGTGTGGGCAGAGGACGGGGAGGAGGGGGGGTGTTATTATTCCTTGATAAGACGATAGATGTGGTGCTGTGCTCCATGCTCATTGTTTGACACCTCAAACACGCAGGCCATGCACAGCAAGGTCTCCTGAGTGTCCCTGTTGCTCACGACCTAAAATCCCCAAATATGAAGAATCATCAGAAATGTGTCTTTGAGTATAACGACGTCGCACATACTGTGTTGTATGCTCACCAGCAGAATAGTGAAGTTCTCCAGTACACTGTTCATCATGTATTTCTCTGGCAGGTGTTTGAGCTTGTGGATGAAGTTGATCATGTATTCGCACATCGGCGAACGACTGATTCTGTAGACGAAATGTCCATTCTCAAACCTGGCGTACTCCGTCTGTGGGAGGAGAGCAGAAATTTGTCCAATACAACCAACGGAAGCCAGAATCTTCACACTTCCTGTCTGGAAACGTGCGACTGAATGAACTGAACAGGTCAGAAAAGGTGGGTTTTCGTCTATCGGTGTATTCGTTACTAACCGGGTTCAAACAATAACAACATTCCTAGTTCTTGTGTGTACGGGTGTACGAATCAGAGTGGAAAGAGTTCCAAGAAGAAACAGGCCATTTCAAAAACACCAAAGGAGCATGTGGCAGCAAGCGATTAAACACCGAGTGGACCGAGGACGTTATCGCGTTTGCAGTGCTCATTTCATATCTGGTAAGTTATCGTGGCCGTTTGGTTGAACTTCATTTATATGTCTTGAAATGTTGAGTAAGTGGGCCAGGAATTGTGGAATATCAAGGTGTTTAACACAAACAGGCCATTTCAAAAACACCAAAGGAGCATGTGGCAGCAAGCGATTAAACACCGAGTGGACCGAGGACGTTATCGCGTTTGCAGTGCTCATTTCATATCTGGTAAGTTATCGTGGCCGTTTGGTTGAACTTCATTTATATGTCTTGAAATGTTGAGTAAGTGGGCCAGGAATTGTGGAATATCAAGGTGTTTGACACTAATACTAACTAGTAACTGGTGGCAGACTCATTCTGCTTTGATGAGCTCCGTGTAACTTTTAATTCGTAAGCATTATGGCTTTTGTGATGTTTACCTCAGCTGTTTTCCTATGGCATCCTTGAACACCTCAGAAGCTTAAAAGTTGCCCTACAGTGCGGTCCCACCGAGATTGATGAAGAACGGACCGGCTGAGCGGTTAAATTTACTGACAGAAAGGATGACGGGAGCGCGGTTAAAATATCACGACAGAATGACCGATGGACGATTACAATTTGGTTTAGCTTGAAAAAAAAATGACGGATTGACGATGACGGACATGTGCTTAGCAATGTTCCCTCTTTTTCCATCCGTGTAAGCCAGGGGTCGGCAACCCAAAATGTTGAAAGAGCCATATTGGACCAAACCCCCCCCCCCCCAAAAAACAAATATGTCTGGAGCCGCAAAAAATTTAAAGCCTAATATAAGCCTTACATTGAAGGCAACACATGCTGTATGAATCCTACTGCCTACTGAATGCCTACTGTCAAAATGACTAAGTTGGCTACAAATACACAATGAGCCTTCACAATTAAATGTTTTTTCCCCTGCAATGCATCCTGCAAAGCAGGGGTGCCCAACCTTTTTTGACCGAAGATCTACTTTTCGATCAACCAACCTCCCGCGATCGACCCGTTACTGCACGCGCGCATACACACGCATTTGCACACGCATGCCATAATAGCTCCTAAGATGAATGATCACGCGCGCATACACACGCATTTGCACACGCATGCCATAATGAGCAACAGCCATAACAGCTCCTAAGATGAATGATGCATGGGACGCATTTTTGCAGCGGGTTAACTATCGTAGCTCACGTGTCGCATTTAAAATGCTTTTCTCAGCCATCCAAATTCCCATTCTTTGCCAGTACCCTCGGTGAATTGTACATGAAATGCAGTTTTTCTTTTCACGACAGCCACCTGCCTGGCATCCCGTCCTGCTAATAGAAATGTGTGTCGCAGGCTATGACGCAAATCCTCGTTGACAGAAATGTTGACATTTAATATTTATTCTACACATTTTTAAAGAATTGGAAAACATTCAGAATGTTTGTGTCATGTTTGCCCTCTGACAGAAACCATATTAAAACAAAAAATATATTCCGCTCCTTCATCTTTTTCCATTTTCAAACATTTTTGAAAAAGCTCCAGGGAGCCGCTAGGGCGGCGCTAAAGAGCCGCATGTGGCTCTGGAGGCGCGGGTTGCCGACCCCCGCGCTAAGCATTCACGCAACCTCCCTGAGCATTCCTTGGGCCGCCGAGAGCAACATCAGGTATGCACACACAGCGGCCAAACCTACGCAGAACGTGATGTAGAATGCAAAGAAAACATTCAAATTACATTTCTATCAAAATAAAACATATCATCAAATGCAGATTTATGACATGAATAAAATTGGCCCAAGTTTGTTACTTTTATTTTAGCTAAGCCAATCTGTATAAGTATGGATACACATTATTCACTCATAAATAACAGAGAATATGTCCTTCAATAAACAAAACAAAACCAAAAAAAAACCAATCCTAGTCACCTGACTTTTGAAAAGCGCGAAAGAGCCTCTTTCAAGGGGATCATAAACTATGTCCATGTTTGGACTTCCTGAATGGAGCGTTCCGCTCGTCCCCTACAGCCTCTCGTCTGTGGTGAGTGAGAGTGTATGTGTGTCAATATATGCATCAAACTATTGGAGAACAACTGACTGGACACCCTCGGTCGCACTACTGAAACTGTAATGGAAGTGGGAATAGTCCCATGTCCCGTTTGTAGATTAAAGTGGGGTGGAGATGAAGAAGTCAGTGTAAAAATTTAGTGAGTACTTGTTGTGCGCCAGCTGTCACGGAGTGCGCTGAGAGGGTCAAAGAAGTGTGCAATTGCTCGCGCGCGCAGTTTAGAGAGAACATTGGTGGCCTAGGCCGCTGAGAGATGACGAATGACAGACCGACAAAATGTTGTAAATTGCCCACCTCTGCAAATCTCCGTAAGACATGATAGGACATTGAGAAAGTGAAACAATTCAAAAACAATTTCATTTTCAAGTAACGTGTTAAGAAGCCAAGCTCTTTCAAGTTTGGTTCACGTGGATTGATTAATAAGGCATAGCAGTCCAACCAAGTGGCACTCAACCTAGCCAATGCTTTTGGCTAACAACTATCATCTTGCACAATTTCACTGCTTGTTTATGCACAATGGCTTCTGCGAACATTCGCTATGCCCGCCAGTAACTTAAAGAGAATTGCGGCTGCCACCTGATACCGGTTTTGAGTGCCAGAACTGACAGCGAGACCGGCGTACCGAGTCTGTGTCTCTCCAATGCAAGATCTCTGGCGCATCAAGAGAGAAAAATCTCATTGGTAACCAACAAAGAAAAATATTTAAAAGTATGATATGAATACTGAAATGATACACAGGCTCATTGTACATTTTGCCATTCAATGGCAGAACATTTGGTTTTTCTGCCTGTCACGATCCAGAGATAGAGACATTTTCTTTATTTATTATTTGGCCTTTAACCTAACTGCAGACTAGATATGCAGGACAAAGTGCTTGTGGATTTGTACAACCAAGTGAAAGAAGGCATTGTGAAGGAAATGAAAGACTACAGATACAGATAGTACTGTATGTGGCGTACAAGTTGTGTTCATATGTATTAAATGTTGTTAAAATCAATTAACACGGTCAGTCTTTTTCGTTATTTATCCAAGATATTTTATTGTTCTACATTTCAATGCAAATGTTCAATAGTCTTGAGAATTTCAAAATAATTGCATTTAAAAACGATGGACTATTTTTGCTCTAACATCAACAGGATATCAGTGGCATTTAAAAAAACAAAAATACTTTATCGTCATAGTTTCTGGGTAAATAGATCATCGGGGGGGGGGGTCGTGACTCGCCAATAAATAATGTAAATACAGTTCACTGACTGAAATGGAATATCTATTACAAAGCCGGGCAGCTTCTCTACTAACAAGCCCAGCAAGTTTTCTGGGGGAAAGCCTACATTTCTTTAGGGAGTAGAAAGAAATACAATCTTACCTCCACCTTCTCGACGACCTGCTTGCCGAAAGAGCAAACCTTGGTTGAGCAGGTAATAGTCATGTTCTCTGAGCTCTCATACTGGCTAGTGACACCATAAAAGGCCGCGGGGTCTTCTTGTGCATTGTAATTTAGGTCAGCCTGCCGAGATGGAAACAAAAAGAAAGAATGTCGTCAAACTACACAAACTTCTTTATACCAAAACAAAGGAAAGACATGTTGTTTTGGTTATTTATAGCAAAGTATGGTATCATTTTAATGGTCCGGCCCACTTGACATCTACCCAGGCCGTATGTGGCCCACCATGTGAAATGAGTTTGACACCCCTGGTCTAAAGGGTTATCTAATTCTCGAGTTTGCGTGGCTCAGGACGATTCTGCTCAAATCAAAACACTGGTCAAATAGCGCTCTCTGCTGGCTACCACTGTCCATACAGGAGCCATATGCAAAATGACTCACACATTGATAACAATGGCCTTGCCTTTAGGATTATAGTTTGCAGGAGGATAGAATTGCATCACATAATATTACTTTAAATAATGTGACGACATTTTTTTTAAACTGCATAAAATAATCAAAATGTTAAACTTGATAAATAAGTTGTTGTATATACCTGTAAGGCATCTCTCTCTGGCAATTACTGTAAAAGCATTATTACCTTCTTAAGTACCCTTTCAGATTATACAAGTGACGGAAAACGTTATGGCTGATTAGTTTTAGACATATTGTAGGTTCGGGTGTTCCTTATATTTTAACTTTTAACAGTTGATGGTCTCACCCAATGAAGCCGCTTCACCAGGGCTAGGGGGTGCTATAGCCTCGTCAGAAATCTGTGTAGCACAGTTAAGCACCTCTTGCATTTTATTTTACATTCTAGAATGTATTTAGAAATGATTTCCTCAGCGCCTCTATGTATCGGTCAAGCTGCCCCACACATAAGCCTCAGGAGTGAAAGGTCCTGGAGCCGTGCCGGCTCTCACCTCACCAATACGCTTGAATAAATACAAGAAATGCTTGGCAAAACCTGAGAAACATTTAAATATGTTTCGAAGTTGCTCAAGACCTTTTAAGTTTTACAGATGTACACAATGCATATATTCATATTTCTTCTGTATCATGTGTTACATTATGCTAACATGTACAATGTAATCAAATTGAATAATGTGTGCTTATGGCAACCGTGGACTTGTTTGACCATGCAGTTCATTTGTATTGATTCTCAGGGACCAGCATGGGTTTTAACCTGCATCACCAAATGAATCTAAAAATGGAAATCTGACAGTACCGTACAGTATGTACTATCCAATATTTATAGTTGATCTGCTGCTGGTTTTGGTATTTCCCAATTAAATCTGCTGCTGTGAGAAATTTTCATGCCAACTCCTGCTTTAATTGTGATATGACTTTTACAGGAGGAACACTTCGATGTGAATGAAGCACAAGAGATAATATAAACTGAGACAATGGCAGAAGTTGTTGTATTTTTGTCAATGTTTTATTATGTGTTCTGTTGTATTGTTCTTATTTTATGCTAAATGATCTTTAAAGCACTTTGTTTCAGCGACGGGTGTTGTGGAAGGGGTTCGTAAACTATGATTTTATATAAATATGGATTGTATTGTATAAAAATTATTCTGGAAATATGAATTCAAATTTCCAAGGCCTTGAGCAATCTGGAGATCCAATACATGGGCTACATCGAATATCAACTATTCTGCGGGTACAAATCATTTCTATTATTTTAACAAAACAGGGCGTGTAATTGAAAATGGTGTCGAACAGCACCGCGTCATTCTAGGACATGTTTTTTGTTGTTGTTGTTGACACTTTGAAATGAGCATTTACCTAAAAAGGAAAATGATTTAATCTCTTTTCAAATTACTTCCTCAACAAGAAAGATTTTTTTTCAATAAGAAAACAAAACATTATGTTCAGAATTGTAATGGTTCAAATGTAGTATTTACGCTTTTTTTTTTTAAACCATCTGTAATCCTCATGTAGAATTCATCCAACAACACACGGAAACAACACCGTAATTAGAATTACATTTAGGCAGAGAAAAGAAAATATTCAGAGCAGACTAATGAGAACACGTTGCTCCTCAATGACTAACTGAGAGAAGTGAGGGTGGTGTGCACAACTTGTAATGAGTTCTCCAAGGACAACAGTGTGGTGGGAGTCAGGTGCATGTGCACCATGAACACACACACACACGCACGCACACCCACACTCTCTCTCTGCGCACGCACGCGCGCACACACACACACACACACACACACACACACACACACACACGCACACACACACATCAATGTGCATTTTTGTTTAAGGAGCATATTGCATATATTGAATAAAGTCGTCGCAAGCTTATTTAAATAGATTCAAACATTATTTTAACCCAACTTTTTCGCATGATTGTTTTAAAATACATATGTGATTTTTTTTTCCCGCAATATTTGCATGTGAATGTGTTCGTCCAATTAAATCTTTAGTCTAATCACTATTGTTTTCCTCGCTCGCTCGCTAAGGAGAACAGTCTCTGTGAGAAAATGTGATATCAATTTAAAACTAAATTAAACTAAATCAAAAAGCATTGCTGAGGAAAATCTCGAAATCCCCTGGTACTTCCTGTCCATTTGTTGCGTCTCTGAATATAATCCACGTCGAACCACACACTTTCCCAAGTGACACCTCTTCAATGTACCAGATTTTTTACTCGATGTCACAATAAAAGAAGCCGAGGTTTCAGCCACCCAGCTCAAACGGTTTTCCAGTTATGGGCCATCAAAGTTTAAATGCCACGCCCACTTTGGGGATCCAGGAAAATCTATACACATTATCGTACTATTTCGGGATGTTTTCTGAAAAATCCTAAATCCGGTAAGTAGGTCAACTGTTGTTGAACTGCCCATTCATGTGTCTGACAGCAAGCTTTGCAAAAGTCTGATAACGATCCTGATAATTTGAATCAGTTGTGTTGAAATAGGGAGAAATCTAGCCCAATGGGCCCTTGACGGCCCTGGTTCAGAGTGAAGGGGTTGGAAATTTTTTTATTGGCTCAAAATGATGATGATGTTGACTGTTGATGGGGTAAAAAGCTCATTCCCAACATCATGTGCCCAGGTGGCCATCTAGTGGCCGGAAGTAGGACTGCGTGCCTTGAAACTCAAAGTACAGCAGAGTTCCCAGATATCATGCTAAATCATGAAAAAGAGGAAAAGACGAGCCCAACCCGGAGCTCTAATGTTAAAACCCTTTGTATATAAATATATTTTATGATGACATATCAATTGAAACCCCACCAACACAAAATATTTCCAAGATATGGACCGGGCCGGCAAAATTAAAATAATGTATTGCGTCATGAAAAAAAAATCCACTTTTAAAGTGTTAATATCTCTAAAAATTGTATACCTGTGCTATTTTCAAGCACATATTCTGATAGGTGGGGTCAGACTACATAGATTTACAATTTACAGGTCTGTATCTACCTTAAAATGACAGATGAGGGCCTCCAAATATGGTCTAAAATTTAGTGCGCAATTCCTGGATCCCAAAAGTGGGTGTGACCCTCCAACTTGGATATGGGCCACAACTCAAAAAACGTTTGAGCATGGAGGCTCAAACTTTGGATTCTTTCATTTGACATTCGTTATAAGGCACAAAGAGAATGAACGGCAGGCAAATTGAAGGGGAGTCACTGGGGAGGTTGACGTAGAATTATTCCTAAATCACACAACAATGAAGCAGCGGCCGATCATTTCTGTTCAATCAAATCGTCCATAAATAATCACAACAGATCTTGGGTCTCGGTGATGTTTAACGTCAGATGTATTCTTAATTGGAGATGGAGTAACATGGGAGTGGGGAGGTGAGCAGGTGTTCAAACAAAGCCAGTGTGTGTTCGTCACTGCACCGCTTCCATATCCCAGGTGGAAAGACATCACACATATAGAACATACACAGACCCTCCCACTTGCCGGCACAATGGAAAACTACTGGATGACCTATAACCCTATATTGGACAACATCGAAGCCGATTTGAATTCGTTGGGTTTGGAATAGAGATGGCGCAAATGAACAAATATACAACATGCAACAAGTTCAACTCAGTTCTGCGCTCACCCAAAACTTGATGAGATAGAAAGCGTTTTGAGGGCCCTTTGCAAACAGCTCCTTCAGGCCGCCTTTCTTCTCTGGGAACTTGTCGTAGATTTGCCTGATGTCCACACACTCCAGCAAGGGGTCGCTGTAGCTGGGATTGCTCTGATTGATGTGCACAAACAGGTGCTTGTTGCACTGAGGAGTGGAAAATAATGGACAAATCAGACGGCGACAGACACAACAAGAACACTTACAACCCATGTTGTCAATGATGGCATCAAGGTTTAGGATATTTGTGACATGGCTTATTTATGAATTCTTATTGATGAGCTTCAAGCCATCAATAGATTTTGCCATAGTCTCGTCACACCGGACCAATGAAATTGTCCAAGTCTGCCCTCATATTGTAACTAATCAGCCATTTGCGGTTGGAGTGTGCACGCGTGAGGGGCAGGTTGCTTGAGAGAGAAACGCGCAGGTTTATGTGCGTAGTGGTGAGGCGGCTGTGTAAGGTGCAACTGAGAGCAAAAAGAAGAATCTCGAGTTGAGTTTAAGGAGTATGGGGAACCAGTGCCATAAATACAGCTATCTCAGCAGTGCGATGCCCGACTCTTTGCCTGTTTCTTTGGTTAGCGACTGCCACCATTGCTGGCAATGGATGACAAGTGCCATCCCCGGGGGACAGCAATGATGGCCGTAGCACAGCCTGCGTTTCCCAAAGATGGAGCAAACAGTTTTCCAAAGGCTGCACTGATGTATGAGATAAAGTAAACGTACAAGCTCATAAGCAAATTTGCCTTGTGTGACAACAAAACAGACTGAAAAAGGTCCTGTGACGCTGTTGTGTAACTATCTGCCCACGGCGCACGCACACACACACACACACACACACACACACACAGAGTAAATTGCGCTATTTATATTTACACACAGAGTATACACAGTATATGTTGGCTGGTTTCAACTTGAGTCTTGTAATTCATATTAATTGGGCTGTAAAGGAGGTAAAAAATGTCACTTAAGTTACTTCATACAAATTAATCACACACAGCACAGAAAGTCACATTAACTATCTAAGATTTAATAGAAATTACATGAATGTGTGTTGAGTTCTTTTAAGTACTCAATAATGTTTCTGCCTGTTGTCAGTTGAAATATCGTGTGCAGTAATTAAAGTTTAAAAAAAAAAAAAGATCAAGATGAATGCCGGCTGTCTGTGTGTGCAAGGCAGAAAAATGGCATTGAATCCACTGTGTGGCAGCATGAACGATCGACTGAAGAGCTTTAACAAGGTTAGTCATACGTGGAGACACACAATGGAGGCTTAACGTGGGCGATCTGTCATCTGTGTGTGTGTGTGTGTGTGTTTGTGTGATACTGACTGCTTCTTGGTCTCGGTGGGTTTCCAGGAACGACGAGAACTCCACCAGTCTTAGTTTAGTGGTGCCAATGGAGCGACCCTGCCACGCTGGTTCTCTGTGTGACTCGGCTGCAGGACGCTCATAACCTGAACCACACACACACACACACACACACACACACACACACACACACACACACACACACACACACACACAGAAATGTAAGCAGGGTCAACATTAAATTATGTTTAATTACAAATTAATGCAACAACATTGATTTACATTTTTTTAAAGCAAGGCAACGGCCCTCAAACAAGATTCCATCATTGTTGACAATATCAAACAGAACTGAGATCTCTGTAACACAGTGACAAGCAGTCAGGGCCAGTAAGGCCTTCTCTGCTGGCTGAAGCACTAACCTTCTTTTACAACCTAAATTTGAATATTTATTCAATGATATTGCATTACTTTATTCCCAACGCTCTACTCTCTTGATTTTGTTTTATTTCTCTAGGCTGCACTGCTTCCAGTACTCTGTTCGATTTTTTTTTTTTTTTGTGTTGCCATGTCAGTTTCACCTGCTCGGAGCCTTCTGAATCAGTCGTATTGGCCAATGTAACTTCAACTCTGTGAGCACTTGAACCAATCAGACTTCAAATTGAGCATGGCCCTCCAAGATGTCGTCTGATTGGTTGGTCGGAGCAAGCCAAATTTGAAGTGCAAAACACGTCTGTCGCAAGCTGCACAAATTCCCAATCCAGCATTTTGAGTGAGTATGATGTATTTTATGTTTTTGCCATGTCACTTGATAATTTCTGATTCTGAACCGCTGCAGATGATGTGGCACAGTTGCATGTTGTTTAGCGCTTTTTTTTCTGCATAGGCGGTTTCTATAATTGTGGCATAGTAAATTGTGGCATAAGAGGTTACAAACCCAGACTGATTTATGTCATCTTTAAAATGACATTCTTTTGAGAAAAATGTACTCTTTCCAGATGACACTGCTTTGAAATCACGCGCTATGCAGAAATATCCCAAACCCAAAACCTCAAAACCTGTCACGTTGTGAGGTGGTGGTGGACCCCAAAAAGCAGGCAACAGGGAGGAGCAGGCTGTACTTGAAGAAGTGTATTGAAACAGAGAAAACTAAATCCAAAACAAACATAGTCCAAAGTAGCAAACAAAAATCACAACTGAAGCTAGAACAGAACTGTGACCAAAACATGACCGAAACAAACCTGACAGCAGCAGACAAACGGCAACAAACAAACATGACAGTAGCAAAGAGCAACAATGACCCGACACTGAATGTTCGGGCTGGGAGTCCTTTTAAAACACTAATTACATAATGACCAAAAGGTGTGCAGCTGCAGGGAGAGCCCTACAGTGCCACCTGTTGGTCCCAAAGCGAATCATGACAAAACCTGACTTTAGTTATCATCTCATTGCATTACTGTATTCCACGGAACCTTTCTGTGGTGTTGTTTTTGTTGGCCTGTTTTAGTTTAAGTCTGGTCTTTGTGTCAAGCTGTTTTTATTCATTTTTGTCATGTTCATACTCTAATTAGTCTCGTCAATTTTCAGTCAAATAAAAGTGTCAGCATTTTAGTCTCATTTTAGTCATTTAATCTTTTACAATTGTCCATGACGTCTATACTCCAGCTCAGGGGTGGCCAATCAGTCAGAGACTAAGAGCCAATTTTTTTACTGTGTTACTACAAAAAGCCACACACA